TTGATGGGATGATCTCTCTCCGTGGAAAGGATCTGTGAGTTTGATTTTTTTTTTTTTTTTTTTGGGGACGGTGACGTGTCTGGAAGAGTAGCAGCCGTTGGATGATATAAGTGGGTCCCGCCAAGACTCTTGCTTTCGTAAGTCCACGTATGGCTCAAGTTAAGCAGTAAGCAGAACAGTGTCGTAACGTCTTGTGAGAAGTGAGAAGTCAAAATGCGCTTGTTTTTCCAAATCAATTATATATTTACTCTTATTTTATTCATGATTTAATATTGTGAATTACTTTTTTTTTTGAATTGTTAAAAGAAAATATTAATAAAATATTAAGATAACTTGATATTTATATTTACATTTTAAAATAATTAATATATAATCACATGAAAGTAGTATAGTGATGATTTGGAGAGATCTTGATTCAAAACAATCCCATAACACAAATTGTATAATAACACATATCTAACTGAAATTGAAAATTGATCATCCAAATATTAATATAGAACATGATCCAACATTTTATTAAAGAGTTGATTCGAGTATTATTTGAATAACAAGTTGGATCATGTTTTAATTTCAGTTCGATATCAACTGGTTTGATCGGTTTAACTAGTTTGTTATCTATTTAGATTTTAAATCAGTAAAATGAAGTCAATTTTTTTTTTGTGGTTTTGGTTTTCGATTTTTGTAAATGAAAGTAAATATGTTTATATATTTAAAGTGTATGTAATTGTGATAAATATGAAAGATTGTGTAGAACTGTTATTATACGATATTTCTTAGGTGGAAATAGTAATTTATCCATAAAGACTCCATGATTGATCCCATGAGACGATTTAGAACATGACTTAAGAACATCTCCATCAAGAGATGTAAAGGGAACCTCACACAGATTCCAAAAAAGAAAAATATTATAATAATCAGAAATGATGAACTCGGCTCGGAGAAGTACATCTGGATGAACTCGTATCATTACTATTTTATGGACACACGCCATGTAGCGGCCCACGATTGATCCCATTATTAATTTAAAAAAAAAAATCAAACAGAAAAGAGAAAGAAAAAAAAGAAAAATCAAAATAATAGGTTTCTATGAACCTGAGTCTCCCGGTTCGCTAATGCGGTTGGTCTAACAATTATGATTGACTTATTGTCTATTCGATTTCATAATTTGTTTCAGGGTTTTATTTGCTCTTTTATTCATTAATTCCCTTCTCTCGAGTGGTTTTATCGGCTGGAGTGCAGCTCATGTAGCTCCCACGACGGAATCTTCCGGCTAACAAACTTTGAAACAACGCTGGCCTCCAATACCCTCACGGCTTCTTCATTCATCAATGACCTCGGCGTCTTGTACTGACTCACAGAAGAGCCACGAGACACGAAGAAACTCATGAGCTCATCAAAGGCGCCACCCCTAACAACCTTAATCTCAAGCGGTCCAATGTTCTTATCATTCTTTCGTCCTTTTCTATACACCGAGTCCAAAGACTCTTCAACGGCGAAGCAGCATTCCTCCATAACCTCAGGGTCGGGCTCGACCCTCACGTCCTTGACTTTGCTTCCGAGTTCCCAATAGAGCACGTAGTGTCCTGGAAACGAGGAGGAATCCACACGGCTAGTAAAGTCAATGAGCATTAGGTCATGTGGCTCAAACAGGAGCGTTGCGTTTGTCACTGTCTTGAGTAGATCTTCTTCGTAGGTCTTGTCCATGTCGATGCTTAGAACAACTTTTTGTCTTCCGACGAAACGAACTTGTGGTGCATTGTTGTAGAAGCCAGTCACTCGTAAAACGTCTCCCACACGGTACCTATACAGACCTGTAAGTTATATATACATATTGTGAGAAAACAATCTAGATTCTTTTTTTTTTTTTTGATAAGTATGTGAATTTTCATTAGATGAGTAATGACACAATGAGATTACAAGCTATTGAAGAATCAAAACTGGTAATCTAAGATGCTAATAAAAGCAAACATGCTAAAGAGAGCCACAAAAAAAGGTAAAAAAGACTCTCTAAAACAAAGAAAGGTTTAATCTTAATCCAATAGGACATGACTAAAGCTTGGCATTTTACATCTTCAAAACAGCTTATTTGCTTCAGGAGATCGCATCTTGAGCTTGATGTCGGAGCCTACACCAAGAGAAGAGATCATAAGGGTTAACAACCGGAGAACGGTCTGAGGTGCCGCGGACCATCCCGAGGGCGACTACGACAGGAGGACAGGCGAAGCAGGGTTGACAAGGTCCTGGTCCGGCTATCACAACCTTTGAAGTCCACTCCAGACGTTGCTCTCCCCGGAAATGCGATGAACCAACTCCCTGAGAATCCATACCAACACGGAGTGGCCAGCAGATGAAGCATTGGTGAAGTACTAGCAGACGGAAGCGGAGAAATTTACGGCTCGACTCCGGTCCCGTCGAACGAGCAGAGCACAAGAGACACCGGCAACTGAGTATCAAAACGGCAGGTAGCGATAATCGATTTCTTTCTGAAACAATGAGAACGGAGGAGGAGAACTCCCATCAACAGGCGAGAACGGCTCAGAGCCCGTCGCGAGGCAGAGACAGAAACAGAGTAACGGCAGAAACCCTAAGCTATCTGGAGCCATCAGACAGGACAGAGCCAAACAGAAAACGCCATGGTGACTGCTACAAAGACATAAACGGAAGAGAAGTCCCCAGCGAAACCCTCAATATCGCCTTTACGATTTAGATCCGAAAATCCAATCGGGGAAGTTCTAACAAAGCAACCGGTGACGGAGTACAGAGCGAGACAAGGGGAGGCAGCAAGCTGACCAGAGCCGCAGCAGCAGCGACGCACTTCGCTCCGGCGAACCCTCCGAGGTGAACATGACCCAAATCCACCAGAAAGTCTAACCCTAGATCTACCATCGAAACGGCGCCTCCTGTTCAGATCCGAGAAGCCACTACCTCGCCATCACTCCGGGGAAGCTGGGTACGCACCCAGAATCCGGTTTGGTTCGCCGGGATCCGGCCGCTATCCCGACGAAGAACTAGAGAAGATGAAGCAAGGAGGAAGGGGCAAAACGGAGCTTGATAGGGTTGAGGATGGACAAAAGGAGCGATTTTGGGGTGGCGACCGGCGATAATCAACCACCGCCGGCCACCAGAAGCAAGATACAAGAGAAGGGTTCCGAGAAAACGAGGGGCTGGGGTCAACAATCATCCGACAATCTAGATTCTTGACACACAAGAGTCATTCCTTACTGGGAATCTCTTATATATTTCACCAAAAATAATGCTCACTCTGATTCAAAAAGATATAAGTTTTAGAATTTTCACACTATTAATCAAACATATAAAATTTTATTATTAATGCATTGTTTTTTGTAATTAACTATTTCTTATAAATTTTACTAGATAAAATTTCAACAACACAATTATCTTTATATAGTTTATAATTTACCAGCAAAAATACATTAAACAGGAAAATTGTATGTTTAAAACTATATACATTGAAACTTCTATAAATTAATAATATTGGAACTACATTAAAACTACATTTTTTATTGTTTTATAAAGATTATTAATTTATGGATATACTAACTGAACCAAAAACTTAATTTGAAACTATAAAATTATATTATTTTTATAGTGATTTTTAGTGTACATTAATTTATAAAATATTAATTTAAAGAAGTTATACTGTATTTTTATAAATATGGATTTTTCAAAAGGGGAGAGTAGTATTTAGTTAATGCTTAATACTGTAATAAATGTTCAAAACTACATCTATTTACAAATAGAGACTTACCTGAAAACGTTGTTACCACAGGTTCATAATCATGTCCAACTTTAACATCAGCAAGATCGACAACCACAAGGTTCTCTGCCGGACCATGACCAGTTTCTTGATGGTCTTTCTTTGTCTCCAAGAACTCAAAGTATGCCATACTTGGGATGATGGTGTAAGACACATCACAAGGTTTGCTCAAAGGATCTATATTGACACCTATGGAACATTCAGAGCAAACATATAATGATGAAACTAAAGGAAGACCGCCACAATAGAATTCCAGCATTGGTATATTATATACTGTTCCATGGAGCCGGTAATGATGGCTTCGACGCATTTTGCATTGGGCCATAGTCTCTTCACAATTGCCTCCCATGATGTTTTACTACATTATTGCTCGATTTGGCTCGCTAGTTCTGGATTTGGACCGGTGAGGAGCTTAGAGATCCCTGAAACACACTGAGCATCTGTGATCCAGTCGCTGACACGGCCTGTCCTTATGTTGGAGCATAACTCACTCCAATGATCTTCCAGGAACTTGATTACTTTGAGGAAGGAAGAAGCAAATGGTGCACCAAGTCGAGATACATTTCCTCTTTGTATAAGCCCACAAAGTAGTTGGCAGTACATGCTCTGTGTAGTGTCTTCACAAGTTATTATAGTCCTGACCATTAATCCAGAGGGTGTTTTGCTTTCTCTTGTCACAAAATAAAACATGAGAGTTTTTCCTTCACTAATCCCTTCGATTTGCCTGCAAATAGTACCAAGAAGGAGTTTTGGTTTACTTACTATTTTTGGAAATAACAAAAAAAAAGACAAGTTGGAGTTTGAAACTCATTACTTGGAGAGCATAGGATTAAAGAGAGATGCACACAATATCCTCTGTTCCATTTCTTCTGCTGTCAAAGGTATCAGCTTTGGAACTCCTCCTTTAAATGTTTTTTTATTTTATTTTTGCAAAAATAAAAAGAGGAATTAAGAGCATGATTACCCCGGTCTCTTAGCCGGAGTTTTTAACTCATGATTTGACAAAAATATTTTACACTTTTACGGCTTTTATATCTTTTATGTAAAAAACGGTTCTTACCTTTTTTTAGTTAAAATCTTCGAAAAACTAAGAAGCCGAAGCTAAAAACCTCAGTTAAGAGATTGTTAATCATGGTCTAAGAAACTGAAATTTCATAAGAGCCCAGATTTCAAGGCTCTTCTAAGAATCTACTCAAAACTTAGTTTTTCCAAATCTTGCATTTCACATTACAATATCAAAAGCTTTGAATTTGTTTTCAGTCATCATAGATTCATTCACGTAGCAGAAACTGCGTTTGCACTGAATATGCAGAGATTTCAAGATTCAAAAGGGTACCTGGTCAAGAGAACAATGAAGGGTCGATCACAGATGAGACTAGAGGACTCTCCATTAGCAATACGATCAATATAAGAGCGACAATCTTCGTAGGTCACAATGGGTAGGTTCTTCTTGAAGCTTTGCTTATCGAGTTGACCGTTGAGGAAACCTCTAAGGTACTCGGTTTGAGCATTACATGAAAGTATTGCTTCCAACACGGAGTCTTGAATCTGTTTTTCGTTACTAGTCGTATCCTCAAGCACAGACAGACACGCATTTTGGTTTGTTGGATCAAACCTTGGTAACATTTTTTTCTTTTTTTTTTGTGAACTTTGCCTATTACTTCTTACAAAAGAGTGAAGAACAAAACCACTGTTCTGGCCATGCCAAAGAGATCTGGCCTCTTAGACCATCTCCAACAATAAATATGTTGTTAGAGTTCTAAATAAAAATTTAAATTGAAAATAATCAAATTAAAAGTTTTAGATATTTGTTTAGTTTTAACTCCTCCAATGGTAGAATCAAATAAAGGTTCTAAGTTTCAAAAATTTGGTTTATATTTTTTTATTTTAAAATTTTACCCTCTTAGAAATGATACATAATACTTAGAATTGATTCTAAAAATAAAAATTTTGGAACCATATCTATCTATTTTTCCTCTTTTTGATTTAAATTTGAATAAATAAATATTTAAAACCATAAGAAACCCTCATGGATACCCCTTTGAAGGTGGTCTTACCTCTCTCTACGCCAACTGTAACTTTTTTTTGTCTCATTCATAACTTTTCTAATCTTTTGCCTAATCTTTTGAAATAGCACCCAAAACAAAAAGTTAAAACAAAAAGTTCATTTGGTTGGACAGCTAGGGTTGGGTATTTTATCCATTAAATTTAATTTGATTCGTTATTCATCATCCAAAAATTTCGGATATCCGTAAACTTTTGAATCAAAGCAAATACTAAAAAACAATATCCATTAAAATTGAAGCAAATCACAAATATTAAAATTTTGGAAAGCGGATATCCGATCCGATCCGGAAATATATAAATACATGTATATTGTTACTATATTTAAAATTTTAAATGTATAAAATTATTATTACCTTATGATTTGACTAATTATGAAAATTTAAAAAAATTGTTAAGTTTTGTGTTATTATAGTTGTAACTTAAACTTTAAAAAATTAAAAAATATGTAAATTCACTATTTCTTTATTTTTATTTTATATATCAAAATATTTTACAAAATAAATTTATATCAAATTTTTAAGATTATCTGTAACGGATGAGATATTAGTAAGTATTCGTAAATATCTATTTATTTTCCGGATATCCGTTTTTCCGGATATCCGTATTTTTCCGAATCAAAGCAAATACCAAAATCAGTTATCCATAACATACGAAACAAATCACAAATACCTTCGAAAAACCGGATATTCGATCTGTGTCCACCCCTATGGACAACAATGCTCCACCTAAGCTACTACATTGCCTAATCTTTTGAAATAGCACCCAAAACAAAAAGTTAAAACCATGTGGTCCAGATGCTACAAGGGGTTTTCATGATAGTGGCAAGTCTGATCCGTATAGTTCATTTGGTTGGACCGCAATGCTCCACCAGTCCACCTCATGAGTTTGCATAGCTTAAAAGAGGGGAGAAGCAACGAGAAGAAGAGAGATAATTACATATAGATGTTAGGTAACGTCTCCTAACTAATAAGATTGTTGTAAACGTTTAAAATTTAAAGTGTACTTTTAAGATATTTAGAATATACAAGCAGATTAACGACATCCAAAATTAAACCCTAACTGTTCCTGTATATTTTGTCATTTGTTACCAATAATATAAACTTTGTTTTATTTGATTAATTAAGTTTATATGTTTGTAAGTTATCAGTTTTCCTTAAAATGCCTCAACCTTTCAACATATAGAGTTGACGAACACCAGTGTTATATGGCCTTGACAGTAGTAGGTTTGTTTATCTGTGTTTTTGTTAGATAATTGTCACATGTCATAAAACTGTTTATGAAACTAATGTAGAAGTACAAACATGTTGGACCGTTGGCGTTTGGTTAGTACAGTATTTTATAGCCACTACCGACTGGTGTTGGACATCTAACTCCTAGTCAGGGCTAGTTAACATTTATTTGAGCCCCTAAGCAAAAATAATAATCTCTTAATATTTCTATTTATTTAAAATTTAAATATATTTAAAATTATCATTAACATCTTTATAAAATTCGTAATGAAAATAAAATATGCACATGTAAAATATTTTTAGAACCTTTTCAACAATATTTATTGAATATTTATATTTACAATTATATAAAATATGTAATTGTTATAAAAATATTGATCTCTTTAACTATTAAGATACAAGGGGCAATGCACCGTTAACGTTTGTCCCTCCATGTTAGCTGGTCATACTGCTAGTGCAGAATCAGGATGGCTTTCAACCACTTTAGAGCACGTTTATCGCTGGAAAAAAAGCAGTGTTTATCACCTATGGCCCCACAAAAAGAAGAAGCTTCGACGCCTCCAGCTCCCGTGCAAGCGTTCTTTTACTTCGGTGCTTCACTATTTTACGGACCCCACTGACACGTGGCGACCCGCAATTGGTTGTTTTTTAATTTTTTTTTTTTAAAAAAAATCCGAAAAAGAAAGAAAAGTAAAAAAAAAAAAATTTCTAAGCACCTCAAAAAAGAGTTTCACGATAAACATGCTCTTAGGCGCCAAAATTTGAACAAAAATATATAGAATATATACATTGGGATATCAGTTTCTTAGTGTAATGGTTTATGGCAAAAAAAAAAATTGTGTGCTTTAGGCGTCTAAAAACATTGGATCGAGCATGTGAAGAATAAGCTACTCTAGTTCAACACATCTTCATAAGAGCAGGTCTCCACCTTATAGGCGCGTGAAAGATATATAGTAGAACATGACTCGACGATTGTGATGGACTTACATATTCGATTATGTAATCGTTCTTATGTGATAATAAAAGGAAAAGATCCCACAAGTCGATTATGTAATCGTTCTTATGTGATAATAAAAGGAAAATATTCCACAAGTCTTATAGTATACTGTATATATAGCGACGTTATTCATATTATAAGCGAAGTCTCACACTGTCACACATTAACGTGACTACGGTTTTATCGGCCAGAGTGCATCTCACGTGGTTCCCACGTCGGAGTTTTCGTGCTAAGAAACTCGGAAACAACTGCCTCTTCCAATATCTTCATAGCTTCTTCACTCGTCACCGACCTCGGGGTCTTGTACTGACTCACAGAAGAGCCTCTAGCCAGAAACAAATTCATGAGCTCGTCAAAGGCGCCACGCCTAACAACCTTAATCTTAAGTGGACCAATGGTACCATCATTCTCACGTAACTTTCTGTACACAGAGTTGAGAGACTTCTCAATGGTGAAGCAGCATTCCTCTAAGACATGGCGGTGTGGCTCCACTTTTGCGTCCTTGAGTTTTCTCCCGAGTTCCCAGTAGATCACGTAGTGTCCTGGAAACGTGGATGAATCCACACGGCTAGTGAAATCGATGAGCATTAGGTCATGTGGCTCGAGCAAGAACGTTGCGTTTGTTACTGCCTTGTGCAAGTCTTCTTCGTAGGTCTTATCAATGTCCATGCTTAGAACAACTTTTTGTCTTCCTACAAAATAAAATTGTGGTGCGTTGTTGTAGAAACCAGTCACTCGTAAAACATCCCCCAAGCGGTACCTATACAAACCTGTAAAACCATACATAGATTTTGTGACACATAATAACAAAATAAATTAAAATGTTTATTCTATATTATATTCTATTGTCTTCACACCAACAAGAATCTGCAAAAAAAAATCCTCTTCATATACAAATATACGATTAAATTATTATTTTTCAAAAGTAAAACAACTAAAACAAAATTTATTTAAATATAAAACAATTAAAATGTTTATTTTATATTATATTCTATTGTCTTCACCAACAAGAATCTGCAAAAAATAAAATCCTCTTCATATACAAAGATACGATTAAATGATTTTCAAACGTAAAACAACTAAAATAAAATTTATTTTAAATATTTACATGCACGTACCAGAAAATGTTGTGATAATAAGTTCATAGTCATGTCCAATTTTAACATCGGCAAGATCAACGACCACAGGGTTCTTTGTAGGATTATGACCAGTTTCTTGATGGTCTTTCTCGACCTCTAAGAACTCAAAGTACGCCATACTTGGAACAATGGTGTACGACACATCACAAGGCTTGCTCAGAGGATCCACATTAATGCCGATGAAACACTCAGAGCTTCCGTACCAAGATGAAATCAAAGGAAGACCTCCACCATAAAATTCTAGTAAAGGAACATATTGTACCATGGAGCCAGTAACAACAGCTTCTATGCATTTTGCTTTTGGCCATAGTCTCTTCACTATTCCCTCCCATGATGTTTTACTACATTCTTGCTCGATCAGGCTCGCTAGGTCTGGATTCGGAGCGGTGAGGAACTTAGAGACCCCTGAAACACATTGAGGGTCTGTGATCCAGTCGCTGACACGGCCTGTCCTTATGTTCGAGCATAACTCACTCCAGTGATCTTCCAAGAAGTTTATTACTTTGAGGAAGGAAGAAGCAAAGGGTGCACCGAGGCGAGCTACATTTTCTCGTTGTACAAGTCCACATAGCAATTGACAATACATGGCTTGAGCTGTATCTACACAAGTCGAAATCTCATGCGGGCTTACTTGTACTCGATCCCTGTAAAACCGTATAACAAATACATTATAAAATACACTAGCAGCACCTAGGAGGATAAGACCATTATCAACCCCAATCTATTAACTAGGGTTCTTAACTTCGGCTAAGAGACGGTTCTTAGTTTTTCTTAGATTTTAACTAAAAAAAGCTAAGAACCGTCTATTAAATAAAAGATATAAAAACCGTTTTTTAACCGAAAAATATAAAAATAAAACCAAACAAATATCAAATCATAAGTTAAGAACCCCGGCTAAGAGACCGGAGTTAATCATGCCCTAATCCTGACTCTTCAAGGCGGCCATGAGATTTTAAGGGTTATAAATAATGAGTAAAATTTTAGTAAATATTTTTGGAATCTATGTTTGTGTAAATTATTTCTTAAATTTTGTAGGCATAGTCCAATATTTTCACTTGTATATGTAGTGATCGGCTCTGGCTTCAGTGAAATCCTAATTGAAAGAGTGAATGTAATGTGGGAGAAAAGTTTTTTGTTGATTTACCAGAGAAATATGTTGCTTGGGTTCACACTTTTTAAGACACAAGTTAACATAAACCTCACGATCAACCCAGAGGCAGTCTCGCTTTCTCGGGTCACGAAATAGAACATGAGAGATTTTCCTTCGGTTAACCCTCTTATGTGCCTGCAAGCAGTAACAAAAAAAAAGGATTTTCCTTCGGTTAACAACATACACTCTTTGTTAACAAAGCAAGAAGAAACATGGTAGTGTTTGGAACTCTTTACTTGAAGACTAGAGGTGCATAGAGAGATGCAAACAGTATCCTCTGTTCCATGTCCTCTGCTGTCAAAGGAATTAGCTTCGGGAATCCTCCTGAAGTACCCGTGCTGCATAGAACAAACGCTTCCTTAACTCTTTACATATTCCATACTTCAGTTTAATGCACATTATTCAAGATTAATAAGAGGAATTTAGAATCTGCATGTGGGTTTATTTCATTTTAGGTTATGTATTAAAGACTAGGTTTCTAGGCTATCATCATCAAGAGTTTTTCAACTAAAGTTTCTCACAGTGTGTTAATATTATGAGAGAATCTTTTAAAAACTTCTTTTTTGTTAAACAAGTTTTTCAAAAAAAAACTTGATAGAATTATCTAAAAATCTTTCGGATAAGTGACTATTCTATAGCATGTACCTCTTAATAATCATTTTTAAAAACTCTACCACTATGATTTTAATATATATATATGTGGTGAACATTATAATTCAGAGAGCTCCGAGTCTTTTTAAGAATTTTTTTTTAAATTGTTTTAGTTTTTTTTTAAATTGTTTTTTTTTTGAACAAATAAATTGTTTTAGTTAACACATAATGATCACATAGCAGATAAACGTTTTCTTCATACATTTCCAGATCAAGACAAGGTATGTTGTTATATTTGGAAACCAAGGTGTGTTGTTTTGAGATACCTGGCCAAGAAAAGACTGATGGGTCGATCACATATGAGATTAGAGGACTCTCCATCAGCGATACGATCAATATAAGAGCGATAATCTTCGTATGTTACAAGAGGTACGTTCTTCTTGAAGCTTTTCTTATCGAGTTGACCGTTGAGGAAACCTTTAAGGTACTCGGTTTGAGCATTACGTGAAAGTATTGCTTCCAACACGGAGTCTTGAATCTGCTTTGCGTTACTGGTCACATCCTCAAGAACGGACATGCAAGCCAATGGGTTTGTTGGATTGAACCTTGGCAACATGCTTTGCTGCTTTTTGATTATCTGCAACGTACGACAATAACAAAAAGAAAAACTCTAATTAAATTATCTCGCTTATAGGTTAAACAAGCAGCCTCTTTGTTACTTGTGATACAAGAAATTGCTTCCAGAGCAGACCTTTGTTCTGGTGAAATAAGTTAGCTGTGGCCTCTCTATCACTCTACGCTTGGAGACTTTAAAGGAGATATTGGATAAAGCACACAAAGGGTGTGGTGTGGCGAAATGTTCGTGTTGAGTTTCGGATTAATATTTTCTTTCATTATCTATATGTTACTATGTATCAGCAGCACAAACAAAAACCTTATGATACGTTACGACAAACAAAAATGTTGCCAATTCCTGGGAAGCATATAACGCATTGCCATGAAAACTCTCTTATGAATTTCAGTACCAAAACAAAACTCTTCTGTACAAAAAAAACAGAAATAAATCTTTAATTGAAAAATAATTTGGATAATGTTTGAACTTTCTTTGTCAAAAAAAAAAATGTTTGAATTTTAAGCGCAAACAAAGTCGGTTCAATTTGCTATACCCGTTCGTTTTTCCGAGTAATTAAGCAAAAACATTAAACCGATGAGTTGTAAGAGCAGTCGCACAACAGGAGGTAATAGCTCGAAAGGACTCACGATCTAGGCCGCAGCTGTGAACCCTATTCATCAAGGTCTGCAACAATATTTCTTCCTTAACAAGTAATCAATTCTTATGATCATGTGGGTAATTAGGTTTAGGGTTTAAACCACAACTTTTTGTTTGATTGTTGTTCTATGTCATAAACGGTTTCATGTATCTATCTACCGATTCCATTCCAGTAACTCACTTTGGACCTTGATGTTCAGAAAACGTTTTATAGCCATTAATTAATCTTTCAAAAGGCGCTAGCTAGGCCCTTCAACCTCAATCGTTATGCCTTGTTGAATAACTAGTACATGAAATCAATACCATTTGAAAGTTTCTCGTATGAGAATCAGGCCCGGCTCGTGTTTCTTTTAGGCCATGTGCAATTTTAGTTTCAGGACCAATAAAAGTAACTGGTAAAAAACCCTTAAAATTGTCGGAATAAAGAACAAGGCAATCTAAGTCTCACATCGGATATTAGACAGAATAAAGTCTAATATATATAGTTGGTCCAATCTCACTTAATATGAGGTTTTTTGGGAGTAACAACCCAAGAACAAATCTGTGAGAGCTTAAGCTCAAAGCGGACAATATCATACTAAGCGAAGGATTGAATATCTGGTGACGGACGTTTGGCTCTAATTGAGCGTCTGGCCTTCAGCATGGACATCCAGTTTAATATAAGGCATTTTGGGAGTAACGACCCAAGAAAAAATCTGTGAGGGCTTAAGCCTAAAGCGGACAATATCATAATAAGTGAGGGATTGGACATCTGGTGACGGACGGGCATTCGGTCTGGCTCTAATAGAGCATCTGACCCAGGAATGCATCTGATCCGTCACAACAAAAATTTTAGTTGATTGTTTTAGATTTTGGTGAATCCGTGCATAACATCATGTACACATGGCAAGAGCAGGCACTGATGCTAATATCTCACAAAAAAAAACTTTATGATATAAAACTAAGTGGTTTTATTCAATGGTATTTCAAAATATTTCATTATAGATAATTTTGAATGAGGTTCTCAACATTTGAACACATACCCATGTTCGAAAATCTCTCAATAAGTTTGCTTAGTTAATGATGAGTTGTATTTTGAAATGTATCTATTCATCCATTGTCCACATAATCAGAATTCCAATCTTCATATGCATGCGAAGATCGACAATAATTGTATTTGGGGGAAGTTCCACTCTCGACGGAATCCACGAGAAAGCAGCCGCAAAGTTTGAAATTTATGAAGCCGAAAGCCTGGTAAAAGTATCTTGTCACAGATACCGTACGTCCAAGTCAATATAATTCTTGAAAAAGAAAGATAATATTAAGCATCAAATTACAAAAACAAAGATTGTCTATGTGAAAATTCGTGTCGTGTAGTGATATTTGGAAAGATTATAACACTGGGATTGACAGTGATTAGACTTGGACTCCTAGGATCTGGAAGATGGCCCTTAAAAATTCATACACACTTGACGTAACCAAGTGGGAGGGGAAGGGACCCATTTCACTTTGCGCATGCGTAACTCTCAAGAAGCTCTTCTGAGCATCCTCAACCCTAAGAGCATGCCCATTAGTGAACCCCCTTATGGGGTTCATAGGCATTTTTTATTATTTTTTGGTGGGGTCATAAATAGTGATGAACCCGTCTTATATATGCACCTCCATTAGTGAACCCGAAATCCGGGTTCTTAGGAATAAAATAATATTTTTTTTTTAATTTTTTTTTTTTTGACAAATAAATATTATTCAATACAAAGATAATATTATTGAATACATTGAGAATACATTAATGTTTAAAATGTTTTATTGAATACATAGAGAAATTGGAAACATAGAAAGATTATTCATTTTGATTACCATACTTTTGCCATATATTTTCAACTAAATCAGCTTGCAAACGAGCATGTATCTGATGATCCCTAATTTCATTGCGTATGCCAAACATATTCCCGACAGTGGAAGGGGTATCCGTAGAGTACGACAAATCAACATGTGAACTTCTGCTTGATTCTCCGGATTCAAATTCAGATGTGTCGTATTGCGTGTAGCTGTCTCGTTCGTTCTCGACTATCATATTGTGCAGTATGACACAAGTTCTCATAATCTTGCCGATCTTTTCCTTGTCCCATAGTAGAGCTGGGTTTTTAACTATTGCAAACCTAGATTGCAATACTCCAAAAGCACGTTCAACATCTTTTCTGGTGGATTCTTGACGTTCAGCAAATAGCTCTGCTTTAGGAGTTTGAGGTAGTGGGATGGATTGGATAAATGTTGACCATTTAGGATAAATCCCGTCGGTAAGATAGTATGCCATACGATAATTGTGGCCGTTGACCTTGAATTTCACTTTAGGAGCTTGAACTTTAGGAGTTTGAGTGTTCTTGGCAATTTGGGTTTGCTGAGAATTTGGTTAAGTGTTTTTTTTTCTAAAGGATGTGATTTGCTTGAGGTTTAGAAAGAATGAGAATGATAGTCGTGGTTTAGATAGATGGAGAATGATAGTTGAGGTTGATAGAAAGGATGAGAATCAAACAAAAAGACATGAAGTAGAGAGATTTTTTTTTCAGACATAGATAGAAAACATGAGATTGATACACGAGTTTATAAATAGAGTTACAGAAGCAGATATTTTAAAAACCAAGTGCAGAAACATACAAAATACTGCACTTTAGCCTTTCCCGTGAACATACATACTACTGAAAACCAAGTGCAGAAACATACAAAATACTGCACTTTAGCCTTTCCCGTGAACATACATACTACTGAAAATAATTGCAGAAAAAACAAACAACAGCTGCCAACAACAACTTCCCGTGAACCTTCCCGTGAACCTTCCCGTGACCTGCACAAAGAAACAAACAAAGAAACAATACAAGTTAGCTACTAGAACTAGAAACTAAACAAGACCACAATACAAGTTAGCTAAAGCAGAAAACAATACAAGTTTAGCTAAACAAGAAAACAACACAGGGAACTAAATAAGTAAACAAGACAACTTAGCTTTTCAGGAAACTAAACAAGAAAAAAAGAATCATTCCATACCACATCAAATCATTTCTCGGATGAGTTTGTTCTTCAAAGTCACCTCTACATCAGAGAGTGAATCTTGGCGAGCTAGGAGACGCTCAAGCAACTTGTTCTTTGATATGGACTCTTTCATAGTCAGCATAGTCTGCATTTGTTCGTACGCAGCTTCTTTGCCATTCTTCTTGCGCTTGGCTGCTTTGCACGCCTTAACCCCGGGAGGCCTGACCTCTTCCATGTCAGGCACGTCCGTTACAGTTTCCTTCCTCTTCTCCTTCGCACCATCTCTGGATAGAGAGTTTGCTCGCCATTTTTGGTCAAAGCGAAGCAGTCTCCACGCATGTTCAAGACCAAACTTGGCCTTGTAGTCGTTAAGGAAGAAGTCAGAGGCCTTTGTCATGAGATCATTATCATTTTCCCCACTGCCTAGGTCCTTCAACGCCGCCTCATAGCTTCCGACGAACTTACACACTTGCTCGTTGATTCTTCCCCATCTCTGCTTGCATTGACTAGCAGGTCTATGACCATTGCCAATGAGTTGGGGGCTTGAGTTAACGTACTCCTCTATTCTCTTCCAAAAGGCCACTCCCTTCTGCTCATTGCTGACAATGGGGTCTTTACTTGTATTAAGCCAAGCACTGATGAGGACCGTGTCTTCCTTCACTGTCCACTTTCTCCTCTCTGAAGGTTTAGGATCCTCAAAGCCCTGGCTGCTAAACGTAGGAAGCTCAGGGGACTCTAACTCTATGGTTTGGGAAGCTAAAAGGTCAACAAAGCGATAAGGGTTTTGGGGAAAAGGATCCATGTTTTGGATTTTTGAGATTTAGTTTAGATTCTGTGGTTTGGTATGTTGGCTCGCTGCTGAGTTTTAAACTAGTTTAAGGTAGGCAGTAGGTTACAATTAAAGGATGTCTAACAACCAAAAATTTATTATGGTTACTTAATAAAGAAGTAATTAAAGTTTTCCCACACACCAAACATTCAAAGCAAAGTACCAAAACAGATATCATTCATTACACGTCTAACCTACTTTAGTTCAGCACATCAAATCACGTAGTAAGTTCTAGTTCGTTTTAAACGAGTAACCAAAACAAAAATTCATAAATCTAGTTCGTCGATTAAGTTGTAGTTCAGTTTTAACAATTAACTAAATAAAAAAAAAACAGAAAAATTTCTAGTTCAGTTTAAACATTTAAATAAGTTCTAGTTCATCGTTTAAGTTCTAGTTCAGTTTAAACATTTAAAGCAATGAGGTTGAGGCTTACCTAACAATCATGGCAAACATTTCAAGCTGGCCTTCTCCAGAGCAGCAACTTTTCCATACAGGATTTGAACCTGTTCCT